GCCTGAGGTGAGTCTGACGTATGTGGATGATACCATAGGCCACAAATGACTAAGAATAAAACGAAGGCTTGTTGTTCGTACAATGATTTTGGGGTTGGTTGAAAGGGCGTGTGGTGAAGCTTGTGGCAGTACTTGGCCGAGAAAGAGAGAGAAAGATCGTTGATGGGTCGCATTCTATCTGGCCAAGAACAAACCTAACCCCAACCCACAACCACAAAAAAAATTTTACAGATTCTCTCTTTGGAAAAATAAGATGTTTATTAGTAGATTACATCATAAACCCAAATTGCATCAAATAGTAAAATGAAGTGCACAACTATTTCTGGAAACTCTAACTTCGGAAAAATGACAACTTTAATGGTTGTTCACGCCATGGAAAACCCTTTTCCTTTGCACTATCAAAGGCCATTTAGCACTACACAGAGTATAGGGTAATGGAAAAAAGCAAAGGACTTGAAGCAAAAAGTAAGATTCATGGCAGCTTACAAGTCATAAACATTCCCAAGTTGTTGGATACTTGGATGGCACGGCAGCTCTTCCTTTTTTTTCTGGACATGAAGAAGCGTTATTATAATTACTTAAGCTTGTACAGAGACAACTGTAATTGCCGAGGAATTCCTACATACAACTAAGATTGCCAAGTACATTTCTAATTAAACTTAGGAATTGTTAAAAACTGCCTATTAGATAATTCCCATTCGTTGTATCAAGCTTACAACTCCCCACATTTTTTCCTTTCCCGTGTAGTAGTTATAATCAGTGCATCTATCATGTGCATTAATTAGCACGAGGAAAAGTTAACAGAAACTTTGTACCTAGCAATTATTGTATATCTTTTACATTTATCTATATAAAACACAAATTATTATATTACAATTTATATCAATACACCAAATACAATATTTTTTATATTTTAATCAACCTCTTACGATTTTAATTTTTAAATCTTTATCATTTTCATTTTTTATTGTAATTTAAGTCTAGCAATAACATAATCTTTGCGCATCTTAACCAATATATATACAGGCAAGCCATCTTGTTCTTAATACATGTTGAAATTTCAAGACACCATAATTGCTTACAATTCATAGAAACTTGCCTTTAGATAGGCACAGCCACTTAGTTATGTACTTCCCATGAGTTAATGGACTTAGCTATTAAGGCTATTACTTGAGAACACATCAATTAGAAAGAAAAATCTTTCCTTAATCCTTCCAAGGGTATAACTGATCAGTAACAGGTCAGTACCAATAATATTTGCTTTACAGGAAACATTTTATCCACACAAACATTTCACCTAAAATGTAATACAATTAATTAATCATAATTTAAAATTATATAAGATCCATCACAGTTTTATAAGATCCTACACTTATAAATGATGAACTCCGCATAATCTTTTAGTGTGATTGAACCATTGTAATATTATAGTACAAAAAATTATAGACTATCCGCTATCTTTACCTACCACCTTATAGACCTATTTAAAGGACAGGCTCTGTTCTTCAGCATATCGGAAAAATCAACAAGAATTATCGATAATCGTGGTCTAAGGAGCATGAGATTTGAAGATGTGATTCAACATTCATGCATGTAACTCGCCCTAACAAGATGTAGGCTACACTATGCTTGAAAAGAACTATTGCTGCAAATAATACCTCAGGACTCTAGTTCTCAGCCTCTATGCCCAACTGTGTTCAATCAACAGACCTTTCGGACTCATCATATAGCAACTGCGAACATTTTTTTTATATGGAATTTAGATAGCTCATAGCTGCATAATAACAATAATAAGCAATCTTTCAGTATTTAGTCAGATGCTTAGTCAAGCACACCTGGTTCATGCGCCAAGTGAACATATTTAACTTAAAATCTCACCATTTGAAGGATTGACCAGGCTCTTAGCATATAATACATCAAGTGGGGTTTTCGGTTTTCCAGCAACTTTTGGTTGTTAAACAAATAAGATGAAGGTTGAAAGTAGACTTTTCCCCATAAAATGTACCCCGAAGAGGTTTAAGCGCCCTAAAACTGAAAGTCTACAAGTACTGTAATCACTAGCTAGGCATTAAAGAAGAACAGAAACAAAAAAGAGATAATGAAAGCAGGAAAAATAAACCATCTTATTATCATGATGAAAAATATCAGATGGGAGGCACATGCTGTTAAGATGCAACTAGACACAAGGGAGATTAAATGCAGACCACATGTTGATTTATAATAACATTCAGAAACATTGCAGATTCCATCACTTATAAACTTATCACTATTTTCATGTGGGAAAAAAAATGTTGCATATGAAATAAGCAATTAATTAATTTAAATCACCAAACAGTTCAAAGTGTCACTCATCAAATCAGCAGGTTGGAATGAAGCAGATACTCCTAGCACACCATGTGCTGTCTGCTGTGTTCATGCTCAAAAATTCATTTAGATTATATAAAACTCAAGAACAGTTGCACCCAATCATAATAAAGTCAGATACAGATAACTAGCTGCATGCCAACAAAAACAAAAGACAAACTGACATGTAGAGACAAATGAGGAAAAGAAAACTTAGGGCCAAATAAAAATCATTCTCAAGTAGAAATGCTACAACACACACAAGTACACCCTCAGACAAATGCTTGGGAAGCAAAGAACCTCCTACAGTTTATACTTTTGCATTTAAAGGTAGAAAACTATAAATCTTCTTGCTTTTGTCACCCCAACTCTCAAAACATGGTTATCATAATGATACACTCTCTCTAAATAACTTATAAGCCATTTTCTTTCTGTATACAGTAATAAGGAGAGAAAACTATTAATATGAACTATATAAAAATTTTAGAGGAAGGTAAAATAGAAGCACATCTCAATTCTTTCGGTATTCAAAGATAAATATATTTACCAGAACGGATTCCTAGCTACAAAAAAAAAATGAAATCTCAAGAAGATAAAAGGGAAATTCCTTCTCAATGATTTCAGCAGCAATGAAGAACTTACTTGTCAGAAATGGTTAAACATGGCCACAGTAGCTAGATTATCACTTTTTAACTACATTAAAATTTTGGTTAGATTTATTCCAAACCCTATCACAGCTGACAAGTCATGAAAATTCAAATGATGCAATTAATTAGTGGAAGCAGGTGTAAATCCATTTAATAGTAAAATTCCAGAATCATATGCTTAACTCAAAACCAATTGATAAATCATCCAACTAGCACAATATCTCCAACTTCATGATCTACAAGAAACAAACTAACTCACTATACATCTTCAACCTAAAGCCAATACTAAATCTAGCAAAAAAGTGAGGGAAAACAGGCAATGCAATGGGACTAATTTCCCTTTCTTTATTAAAACAATAATTCCTTCTTTATGGTTACTTCAGTATGAGAGCCATAAGTACAAAGTAACAAGAATCAAGCATGTCATTTATCAGTTCCCGACATGAATGTGAAAAATACCCTAGATTTCCAAAAGAACCAAAATGCAAAATAAAAGTGGAGAGGTCCATATTGTAATAAATACTCGGTGTCTGATAAAGCTAAGAAATGCTACAAACAACAATGAGACTGTCTTTTCTCAACACACATGGTTTAGACGTACCATACAGCATTTGAGATTAGTAACATAAAATAAAGGCAAATATATAAAGAAAGATGAGAATGCAATCCACAGGATGAAATCCACCTATTACTATCATATATAGAAGACATCTAAAGGGGGGCAGTATGCCAATGGACCGAAAGCAAAAGCCAAACAACAATTTTAATTGATGCCTCATCTTAATTTAATCCACATTAGTCAACATTTATACACCAGTTTATAGCCAAAAGGACAAGTTACAAAGTTTGCAGCATCTTATGGAATAAAGTATCATTAGAAGCCAAACACACATCTCCGACATCCATTGTCCCGGTTTTCACAAGTGACATGCATAAAAGACAGAAGAAAACCCACATAATGATAGAATATTGCACAAATGTCCAATACATTGCATATTTCTCATAAACAACAAAAGCAAACAAATATTTAATTAACCAAAATGCAAGAAACCTATAGTGCCTGAAAGTACAGAATCAATGTCTCCTGGGACAGGTAGGGCAATGGGTTCAGAATTCAGCATCAATATTCTACCATGAAAAAAGTTAGGCAAAGATTAAACTATAACATACAAGGATTAGATAAAAGTCTAGGGTCGAAGTTTTGGTAGGGGAAAATTTCTCACACTAGGATAATAGAAGAAGTACATCAAGCATTCATGAATGCATGCAATAGCCGAATTGTGCACATTGCAGAAATGCCAGAGCAGTAAAGTGGGCCGACAGCGACATCCATGTAATGCTATTTCTTCTTTGGCAATGAATGATAGCGACACAACAACTACTTCCCAAAGTCTAAAGCAGCACGATAATCATGAATTCCACATTTACTTCTGGTTCATTACAAACCAAAATCCAAACCAGCAGAACCGAAGGGATCAGAGCCACTGGAATATTATGTTAGATCTCATAATGAACGCTATGATCAGAATGATAGAAGAAAGAGAGAGAACAGAAAAAATGATTTATTCATTGAGAAATTTCCGCAAGAAATTTATCATTCAAACTTTGCACGAGCAAATTAGTGTGTAAATTACACATAAAGGAAGGTTCATAACACAATGTCTTTTGATGATGAAAAGCACTTTACACTGTAGATTTCACCATTGCCAAACACAAATCTAAAGAACAGAAGGAATAAGAAAAGGCATCAACTTCAAAAAAGAGAACAGGTTTTGTCATCACAAATTTTCGAGAACTAATATTGTCTATTAGTACAGGATTAATTAATTTCTTCATCTTACCTTTATTTTCTATGATATGTAATTCAATATAAAACATATCCTAAATGAGTAGGAAAAATGTAGACTCACTGACAAGAAGATGGTTTATGATTATGACCATCTAAGTGCAATTTCAAAGGCAAGTAGACAAGAAAAAAAAAAAAAAAACAAGAAAAATCAACGGCCAAAGACGATTGACACCAAAAGAAAAGAAAAACATATGTTAATAAGGATACAAAGTCTACAAAAGAAGAATTTACCAAAACCCTATGAGTAATTGGAAGGCAGCAGAAATACGAATTAGACAGACTACAATGCATCCCCCGAGTCAATCAATCCACTACTTTTATCTTGGAAAGATGATCTCAGTTTATTGGATTACCATAACCTGAACCACCAAGCAAGCCACCTCCAGTGGTCGCATAAACTTCAGAAGGATCAAGAACTGGAGATGACGATGAACCCCCATTTCTCCCACCCCCTCCACCACCACCTAAATGCAATTCAGATATATTAGGAAACCCATCTCTTCCTTCAACTCCTTGGTCATAAAGAACCCCTTTGAACACATGTCCACCAATCTTAACAACTGCTTGATAGGCATATTCATCCTCACCATCCTCCACTGCTGTCACCCTTACACACTTGAATAACGCCGGTGCACGTACTTGCCCTGGCAATGCCTCTTTAAAACCTGCATCTGCATATACAAGATTCAGTAAAACCCTACTCAAATTTCCCCCCCCCCCCAAAAAAAACAATCTTTCCAAGCTCCATCGAAAAACAAATAAAGCTAAAAAGAAAGAACTACAAAAACCAACCACCCAAAGAGAAAAAAAAAAAACAAACCTTGGTGACTTGAGCTAGTGTCAAAGCTTCTCGGAGGAGTCGTATTTGAAGTTGATGTATGAGAAGTAGTTGTAGTCTGAGAAGTTACAAGTCTTGGTTTCTTAGAACCAGAAGTCGACCCTGATGAGCCAGCACCAACAGTAGTAGCTGCAGCCGTCATGAGCTGACGCTCTCTTCTCCGAGCTGCAGGTACCCACGTGCTCTTCACGTGTGTAGGGCAATCAAAACCCCGACTTTTACAACATGTTCTACATCTCCTATGGGTACAATCTTTCTTTGCTTGGTTCCCACAATCTTGACACGTAGCCCCTGAGCTTGAACCCGAACCACCACTCCCACCTCCCATCGCACCGCCACCACTGCTTTGTATCAAATTCATAGAAAAAGAATTATTGTTATCAGGGAGAGAAGATGGTTTTTTAAGATAGTGAGGGGAAGAATTCTGATTCTGCCACAACTGCATCCCACTGAGTTTGTTACGACCATTATTATTCAACAAATCAGAATCTTCCACATTTTGCGGAGCTAAACATGGAGCTGCTGTAAGAAGTGGGATAACGCCAACACCAAGCGCCGGGGCAGCATTTGGACCATTGATTTGATCATTTGCCATGATGAGATCTTGAGTATGGTGGTGATGATGATGTTGGTGATGGTTAAAAGATGCAGGAGCCACAACGACGAAATCGCGGAGACCAACCATCCCCATTTCAGGTGGAAGCCCGTAGTTGATTGGACGAGCTGAGGGTGGCCATTGACCGTTGGTGGATCCATGGGCCGCATCGGCGGCAGCGTTAGCATTGAAGCCAAGGGAGAGGTCATCGGGGCCAGCTCGGATTGCTGTGGACGACGACGTCGCCCAATCTGCAAAGGCTCCTGAGTCTGACGATAGATGCCTTCTTGTGGTAGCCACAATGACAATGATAATAACAAGATTATATGTATAAAGATGTCTCCTTTGATTGATAAAAACTCAATCTTTACAAACATAAACAAACATATATATGAGTAAAAGTTCAGTTTTTTTATGCAAAGAAAAAAACAAAAAAAAAAAGATCTAGAAGTGGAGAAAGATACAATCTAAGAAGATATCTATGTGGGTATTATATGAGCTAGAGAGAAGGGGGAAAGTGGGGTCAAAATCTCTGAAATTGTTACAGAAGAAGATAAAAAGAAAGGGAAGGTTTTAGAAGGAAAGAGATCTTGTTTGTTGTGTGACTTCCCAATTAGTGCAGCAAGCAGTAGTTTCTTTCTTTCTCCTTTGCCTTCTGCAATCTGCTGCTACTGCGGAAGAGAATGTGTTTTCTGTTGGCTTACTAGTGCTGCTACTGTCACTTTGGCTCTTAATAGAAAAAAAAAAAGTTTGGGGTTTTGAGAGGGAGAGACAACTGAGTTCCCTTCTGGTTATGTAGGCAGATAAAATTAAAAATGAAAGGAAATTTCAGCCCCAAACTGATACTACTGGCCTTCTGCTACTGCTGCAGTCTTGTAATAAGAAAGAAAAACAAAAACTAAAAATTTAGTAACCAATAATAAGGCAATAACGACCCTTTTCCTGTTTGCTTCTATTTCTCTCTCTTTCTTTCTGTATCTCTATCTTTCCTGTGTTGTTATTTGTTGCCGTCCTTTCTCTTCATCATCTCCTTCTTCTCCTCTTCTTTTTCTTTTTTCTTTCTTTCTTTCAATTTGGTTTCTTTCCTAGAAAGCGAAACTGAGGTGGGTTCCTCTGTACCACTCACTCTCTTTCACTCATTCTCTCTCCCCAATAATCAATCTAGCTATAGAAGAGAGAAAGAGTATAAAGACTTTTTAACTATAGTTTTTGTAATTTTATGCCCTCTTTTGAACTCACATCATATGACAATCCGTTCCTTTGGCTTTGCTTTCCTTGCAATGTGTGTTATGCCTCTTTCCAACCACAAAACATAAGACCCACCCTTTTAGCTCCTCATGTATTGGTGCGTGCACCCACGCTCCTTTATTACCCAAATTTAATTTTTTTTCAGTAAATCGATGTATCGTATTTGTTCTGTGGATTGCTACTGTCAGAAGGAAACGGTAAGTATTCTTCTTCTTCTTCATTGTTTTCTGTTTTAAGATATTTGTGTAGCTTTAGTTTATTAAATTTTCATGCTTTTTTTTTGGTACAATTATTTAGAGCTTTAATTATGAAAAACAAGTGGACAATTTTCATTTGTTTATTGTACAATGTCAAGCGTTTAATTTCAACTATCACCTTTTAACACTTTGTCTTGGATTTATTTCTGCCTAAGGTAACTTCGTACATTATTAGGTGTTGAAATTTTTTTTCTTTTTTTTTTATTTTACAAAGAATTACCTTAAGTTTTTTTTTAATTCGCTAAATTATTATTTTTATTTATAATATTTTATATATTTTAGATAATAATTAATAATTATTTTGGTAAATTTTAATACATTAAAAATTATAATTTACCTAATTAAAAAATTAGAGTGCTAATTGAATCTAGGGTAGAGAGTTTATTTTTAATTTTAATTGAATTAATTAATTAAATCGATTTAATTATATTAATCGATCAATCATTAAATTAATTTTAATTAATTATTAAAAATAATTTTAAATGAATTTTAATTTTCAATTACATTGATTTAATTGAAATTTTAATTAAAATATAAAAAATTTTAAATATAAAACTAAAAATACATTAAATGACCATTTCAATTTATAAATTCTTAAAGTTTTTAATTTAATAGTTTAGTATGTGAATATTTTGTTAAATGAACTGATTTAGTTTATTTCAAATATAATAAATTAAGAGTTTAAAATATAATTTAATTTAAATATATTTTATTATTTAATTAATATAAAAATTAATCGGATTAAAGTAAGTAAGTTAGATATTCAAAATTAATAAATTTAATTCAATTAATGAAAATAATATAATATAATTTGATTAATTCAATTTTGAATAATTCAATATGAAATTAATCAAATTAACTAAATAAACACCCTTAATATAGGATTTAACTTAATTAATTCATAAAAATCATTCTTAAAAAAATTTACATCCATCAAATTTAAAATTCAAATATAAATTTTTTAACATTTTTTATCTCATACTATAATCTCTTTAAAAGAAAAATCACATTGGTTAAAGAAAAAGAAGAGCAACAAGTCATTAAGAGTAAGACGGAGATAAACTAGGCACACTCTGCTTTCAGTATAATAGAATTTTGATCTTAACCAGTGTCACTTCAAACTCCAAAGGCAAGAGATTCGGTGGGGTTTGCTTTTGTCAACAAGATGGCGAGAAAAAAACTTCATGGTTAGGGCACGCCAAAGTCTCTTTTTTCAAAGCACGCCTCCCCATTTCTCTCTCAAATTGTGTTGAAAGATTTGGAAAGCACTTACATTTAAAGGTCTCTCCCACATTTTAAGTGTTTTTGGGTTTGGAAAAGCACTACTCCAATTTTACTTGATTATTGTTTATATGTAACTTACCTCTTATTATTCAACCCCTAAATAATTTTTTTTAGTGTTAAAATGTTAAATATATGTTCATGTTAGTATTTAAAATATGTTATTTATTAATATAAAAATATTATTAGATCGAGTATAAATCTAAAAAATCAAATTCAAAACTTGACCCGAGTTAGATCAATGAATTTATGAATACGATAAATAATTAGATTTATAAACACATTTAGAGGAAAGCTATCCCATATCCCGTAATGAGATAGATGGAGATAAATGTTGATTTTCCTAATAGATTATGTATGTAGGCATTAGATGCTTCGAAAGTTTGGCAGTGCTGAATGGCTGGTGTCTTAATTTAAGATATAAAAGAAAGGCAAAACATTCTTAAAAAGTTGGCATCATTGCATCAATCCTTGCTTTAAGATTGTGATACTTGTAGCAAAGGCCTAAGAGAAGATCTGCCAACAACATGGCAAGAACATTTGTGTAATCACAGAGAGTGGGAATCTCATGATAAAAGAAATGCCATGAATAAAATTACAGGTGAGAGGAAGTGTTTGTAATTATGAAAGAAGGAGATGAAAAATATATATTATCTTAACCATTTGGAATAAAAATGTTTTTCTTTATTATCACTTCTTTTTCTCTTTTTTATCAAAGGGATTAATTAAAGCAACCTCAAAAGATCATAATCTAGGGCATGACCCACTAGCCTCTCCCTCTCTCTTTTTCTTAACTATACTTGTTTAATTGGCATGACAACCCAATCTAGAGCATTGATTTAATTATATTAGGGGTTGTTTAATAAATTATTAAAAAATTTCAAACCATTAAAAAGAATTTCAATGAGTTAATGTGTTTGATAATTCATTTTAAAAATCACTTAAATGAAAAGTTTTCAATGAAAATTTTTTAAAGTAGTTAAAGTTACTTGTTTCTTCATATTTTTTGTTTATTTTTTAGGATGTATTAAAATTATATCCTTTTCTAAAACTTAAAATTTTTATTTTATATATTTTAAAATTATTTTTCATTATCTTTTTATTTATAAATATAATTTAAAATTTAGTATTAAATACACTAAAATCAAAGAAATGCACTCAATTTGGGACAAAGGAGTATTTTTAATGAATTGAATCACTCTCATTTAAGAAAAAATTTGACAATTAATTACATTAAAGATATATTATTTTTTAATTACTTTTTTAACTTTTATTAATGTAAAATACTTAATAAAAAATTACAAAACATCTATTCAGTATTTAATTTTTAATAGAATATCAAACAATTTTTACAATAATAATTTATCACTTAATTTTGTTATAATTAAAAACTAAATACTTAATTTTTTAATATTGATTTTTTGCAATTTATCAAATAGTATTATTTTGTCACATTTTTTTATAATTTTTTACAAATTACTCGTAATTTCAATATCTTGTTAATATATTATTGTAAAATATCAAGAGAGAGTCAATAATCAAATTAAAATTAAAAACCCAATGAGCAATTCATGTATAAAAAAAAAAAAAAAACAATTTTATTTACTACATAAGAATATCTGCTCGAATGCATGTTTAGGTGGGAGCAAGCTAATGATTTGAATTAGATTCTAATAGCCATTAGTAATAAGCTCTTTTCTTTCACATTATGAGCACGTGGGGACATAAAACCAAATGAAAATCATTTCGGCATTAAAGTTAAAACTTGTCTAATCATGTGTTTAACTTGTGCTTAATTAACTTAATTGTTTCCAACCAAATAGAAAACTCGATTTGGAGAAGTTGTCCAATCATATCATGGAATGTAAACACGTTAATTAATCATTTTTGTACTTAAATGTTATTCTTTCTTTGGACATGATAAAATTGACATTTTAATTTAATTAATTTATATTATTATTTTTAAAATATAATGTTTAGCTTGCATTTATAATTTTTTTATCTATAGATTATTATTTCTTTTATAAAAAAAAAAAAATCAAAGAGATGTGTAAGACATGTTCAAATTACTCTCGTTGCCTATTATTATATATGTAATATCAAAATTTAAAGCAATTAATGACGAAGATGATTCAATTGGTTAACTTCACCATAAGATTTGTAGCAAATTTTTATGTTTGCCTTCTAGTCTAAGATTTTGAGCAATTTATTTATATATTTTCTAGAATTAAAAATTTTGAAGTCAAAATTTTTAACATAATATATGCATACATAGCAAGAAATCAAGCTAAAAAATAATGGTTTTTTTGGATTACGGAATGAAATAGAGGGAAAATAAAATTGACATTTTGTGAGAATAGAAAAGAGGAATATAATAGAACATGTATTATGAAATTTGGTTCATTATAATGGAATAAATAATGAATTAATATTAATATGTTTGGTTAATTCAAAAAATATGGAAGGAATAAATTCAAAAGACCATTTTATCGTTATAATTATAAAATTATTAATTAATAAAATGAATAAAAATTCATAATAATATAATATAAAATTAAATATTAATATTAAATTTATCATATTAAAATTTAAAATTAAAAAAATATTAATTCTACAATATTGAATGCTAATTTAATAATATTAAATATTATTTACAAATATTAAAAAATTTAATAATATTTTATATTAAATTAAAATTAAATATATAAAATGTAAATTTAGCAATCATAAGGAAACAAATACTAATGTAATTAAGTTAGATTGTGAAATAGTATAAAAAAGGTAATCATTTTTTATATTTGGGATCAATTATTTACGATGATATTGAGATAAAAAATGATATAAATCATCAAATTCAAGTAGATTTAGTTAGATGGCGAAATAAGTTGGATATATTGTATAATTGCAATATGTCTTTAAGTTAAAGGTACAATCATATAAAATAACTGTAAGGCCTATATTATTATACGAAACTGAGTGTTTGACTACTAAAAAAGAACATGAGAAAAAAATGAGTATAACTAAGATGATAATACTTAGATGGATATGTAGTAAAATTATAAGATATGAAATAGAAAAATAAAGAGATTCGAGAAAAATTATGATAGTTCGAATTGAGAAAAAAATAAAAGAATGTCGTTGGAGATAATTTAAACATATAAAACATAAATTTATCTGTGCACCAGTTAAAATAAATGAATTTTTGGATTTAAGAGAAACCAAAATTTCTAATGGTAAACCACAAATGACATAGATCAAGTAATAGGAAATGATATAAAAGTTAAAGAAGTAGACGAAAATATTGTTTTTTATAAAAATTAATCATGCAAAAATTTAAAATTACGATCTAACATAAATTTTTTTTTTCCTTTCATACAACTGACCTCAAAACCATGAGATGTAAGGTTTAGTTTATTGTTTGTTGTTATTATGTTAAACTAATAATATTATATATTAGTTTAATAAGATTTATTATTATTTTAATAATATTTTCATATTATTTTAATATTATATATTAAATTAATAATATTATAGCA